TGATAATATTTATAATTGTCTGAAATAAATGCAATTTTAAAGTTTTAATTATTATTTAAACATATTAAAAAGTTTTACGCTCATTATTAATAGAGATTGAAACTAAATATTTTTTTGTTTCGAAGTTGAAATCAAGGCATATTCACTGCCAAAAGTCAGTTAAAAATTTTCCATATTATTCGTTATTTCTTATTTTATTCAAAGTTTTTGATCAAATTCCAAATTTTCTCTCAAACCGTATACTTTTTTTTTTGTACCTATAGATAGCATTTATTTATCTCATGATATGCTGCAAAATCTAATTAATCAGGAATTTCTAATTTGATGTACTCTTGTCTCCGACTGTACCTCCCAAACATCCTTAAGTGATTCTCAATTGGCATATGAGTATTATAAGCATAATAGTTTAATTACCATCCAGTTCCCCTAATGGAACAGTAATCTACCCCAGATCTACCTCTGCTTCTCTATACTCCTGCTCTTGTTTCTAATATATTTGTAGTCAGTCTTTCCCAGAAAGTGCTCTATTATCCTATCTATTTTTTTGCTTATTAACTTCCATAACGCCCTTTGCTACTCTATCTAACATTTTTTATCCACGGTATCATCCACCTATAACTCCACATCTTCAACAATTCAAACTTTTTCATTTCCTCCGCACCCACCGTCCTCGTACAGATCTATGTCTAAACATAATCTCCTGTTTTTATATTAGTTCTTTTCTTTTACTTTTACCTGCCTAGCATTCTATCGTTTTTGGTTTATTTTTATTTACTGTTATATCATACACTTTTGTCAATGCCTCTTCTATTTTATTTACAGCACTTTCTAACTTACCGAATTACTGATTCTGATTATAAATGAGTAACTGTATCTTCCGTTCTTTAAAAGCGTTTCACAATTAGTACATCGATAAAAACCCCATAGAAGAGCGTTTCTATGAGAATAATCTCACCACTCCCACCCACTACTGACTACTATTCTGTTGCTATAATAAAAAAGTCGTTATCTTTTCACAGAAAACGATGCATTATTTCCTATCCAACATCCGACATAGATGATACCCATAAAATACGAATACGTATACGCCATACGTACACAATAATGCCAACCGACAAAGAAACGCGATAATGTTGATAAGGAAGTAAACACAAAATAGGTTCATTATTCTTGTTTAAAAGAATTTTTATTTATAAAATACTTCTAATATCTGCCTTGTAAGTACAAAAATTACACAATGTCTTATCATTCACAATATAAAAAAAAAGAAACCGGATGTTGGTAATTATGGAGTTTGGATTTTAAAGATTTTGACCTTCCAACGAAGGAAAGTAAATAGAATAATATTTGTAGAATGACACTAAATAAAAATAAAACTAATGTAACTTAAAGCCAACAAACTAGTAACTAACAAATTTGTATTGGCGAATTTTTTACAAAATTAAATCCATATCAGTGCTGAAATCTCAAGGTAAAAATGTAATAAGGGATGTTCCAAAACTAACGCAAGATTTGAATTTGCCTCCATTCGTACAGTATTCTGAAGTCAGATTCGAATTCAGCGATAAAAGTTCGATTATTTTTTCATTTTCTTTCGTGGGGTATATTGTTCACAAGACAAAAATTGTATTTTTTGGATTTGAGGGTAGATTTCCCGCAATCCTGACATGCTGACACAATCCTTTGGACGTAGTTTCTTGTTTTATATTGACCAATGAAGCGAATCTGAATTTTATTCATCATGACCTAATTTCCACGAAAAACTATAAACTAACAAGCTAACCAAAACCACTAAATTG